GGGGTGAGATCCTCACTCTCTGGATTATCTCCTGGTGATTTTTCATTTTCAGTGAACAGACCAAAATACTAAATATATTTATAGTTAGTACGTGGGAACATTTTTACTTTAAAAAAGGAAACGAAGACGTTCTCTAAACGCTGAGTTTAATTCAGATCTACTTTAATTACATTTACAGATGAATGTGATTCTTTGTCTCATTATCCACTAAGATCAGACTAGAACGGAGCGTTCTGCAGGTGAACACCTTGTCAGGTTGTCATCACTGCTTCTTTAACTTGACCTCAGTCAACACAGCTTCTCAGCACCAGGACTAACTCACACTCACACTCGGCTGTGGAGCTGAGGTATCGTACCTTCTTGGACTAAATGTTTTTTTTCTCAACTACAACAAAAGAACTTTTATATCTTCCAAAGAAAAAAAAATCTGCTGCCATCTTTTCTCATTTTCGAGGTATGAACTTTCAAGGAGAGAAGGGAAACGCCTGTGTAAATAATTGTTGATATTGTGTGCATACAAGTGTGTAAGAAAGAATCCAATGAATGTACGGAGATATATACTTGACCCTTTTTTTTTTTTACATTGAAAAGCATCTTTACTTTAATCTCCCTGTAATATTCAAATTAACAGAATGGTGTAACTTCAGGAGTGTCACTTTGACTGGACAGTCATGATTTACTTGATTTTCTTTTTTTTAAGCATTATTTAATTGTAAATATTGAAACATCTAAGTATACCATAAAATACTGCCATTACATATACAGAATGTATATTCAGTTTTTAAAAGAAGAATAAATCAAGTTTTAAAGTCAAATCTGACTTTAGCGGAATGTTGATCTTCCTGTGGACGTTGGTTTAAACAGATTTGAAAACGCGTTTTTTTTTTTTCAGCTCAGTCAAATTTTCACTCATTCACATTAACTTTAAATTATCCTGAAATCCAAGAGGAAATTTACCGAGACATCTGTGTTTTCTACGTCCACACCCTAAAATAATAAATTTAAAAAACGCAATTCCTCTACCTGGAAGAGTCACAGTGACCCAGGTTTTTTTTTCCTTTTCGCAATTCCTCTACCTGGAAGAGTCACACAGTGCGTATTCCCTTATTGAAAAAAATTAAATAAATAAAAGAGCGTTGAAATATTTCCATCAAGTCCTCATGGAAAAGTTAATCATTGCCTGGTTCTGCCTGTTTCGGCGCAGGTCAAACCTTCGGAGCTCAGAGCGCAGAACAGTTTGCCAATGTTTGTATCCATCACACGAAGCGTTGCCACGGTGACCTAAGTGTTTTGACAATCTGAGATTTCTCTTCTTCTTTTTTTTCTCTCTCTCTTTCTGCTCGTGTCTTTGTCAAAAGTTTAAACTCCACAAAAGGCTCAAACGTAGGCAAGTGTCGAGTGTTTACTGTGGAGTCTTGAACAGGTGAAGAAACGGCATCGATCTGACGTGAGCTCCGGCCGCGGCTTCATTTTGATGGTTTCTTCTCCAGCAGACGGTAAAATGAAGCAGAGAGTGAATCTGATCAGGTGAAAGGGACAGAACTTCACGTTACACATAGTGATTTAAATAAATAAAACAGGTTTAAATAAAGTGATGTTGTTCATACAACAACCAGCAGAGACTGAGGCCGTCGGCCAGGTTTCTGGATTCCGACTAGCAGCAGTAACTCAGCTGAGCTGGTGACGATGTGGGGTCTCACCTGGTCTCTGAACCCGACTTCACCTGAACTGACAGTTTCAACAGACTCACTATCTGTTCATTCCAAAAACAGAAAACCATACAAACAGAAGCTTCAACACTTTTTTTTTACTTTTTTTTTCAGTAAAATGTATCTTGCGTAAACACATTTGCCTGTAGATCAGCTGAGCTCAGTCACTAAGGAAAAGCTCAGCTTCATGTTTGACTTAAGATGATGGACTTTCCTTCTTTATTCTTCAGATAATCTCCAGGAACTTAAACTGAGTTTCCCTGTTTTATTCTCCCTTTGTTTCCTTGAACTGATGTGAAGTTTGGGTTTGTTGATTTTCTTCAAGAATTCAAAGACGTCCAGGATCCTATTTTAAAGCATGTCAAGTCAAAAAAGAACGAAAATGACTGAGAACAATTGAAAGATCTGATTTGAACTTCGCTCAGAACAAACACTTGTGTCAGTGAATTTATTTTTTCAGCCCCTGGACTTTAGAAAATAAATCAGAAAAAGAAAGATGTACATTACCAATAATAAAAAAAAATCTTGTTTAATGTTTGTTTATGGAGAGGAAACAGTTTGTTTTGTTTCTTGTGTAAATATACATTTGTAAATATTTCTATGGTTTTTATTTGCTATGAAGATATTATTTTTCTCCACTTTTTTATCTGATGGGATTTTAGATCAGTCTCATGTCAAACGTTTGTTTTACTGTGTGACTTTTTGACACGTTGCATCTAAAGAAATTTATCAGTTGATGTAAAATGAAATAACTGTGGTTTATTTTTTTTTCTGTTTGAGAAAATAAAACGATTCATGAAATGACAGAGTTTCCTGTTTGATTAAAAACACAGGATCAGAGGATTCCAAGAACTGAAGAATTTTATGATTAATCTGGGAATTCTGACCCTTTATTTTGGAAATATTGAGAAGTTAGAGTCTGTCTGTGGTCAGGAAATAGATTAAAATAATTGTAATAAATTCTTGGACTGGATTCTTGTCTGGGTGACGATCTTATCTACGTAGAGATAAAACCCGGAGACGTGGTGAAATATTAAAAACTTCTTATTGAAAGAGGAAACTGCGTTAATCATTTCCCTTCGCTGCAACAAGAGGAAACTGCGTTAATCATTTCCCTCCGCTGCGACTTTGGAGAGATCCCTGATTGTCGTCTGCGTGGCGTGGTAGGCGAAAGGTCAAAGGTCAGAGGCAGGAGACTCCGCTCGAGGCTACGTGACAGATAAACCTGTGCGTTTCACCAAGAAATAAAGGCCACAATTATGTGGAGAGGAGTAATGAGGAGACGTGCAGAGGGAGGTGGAGTCCGTCCATGTGCTGTACTCTGGCAGCAGGAGTAATTATTATCTTTGTGTTAGGATGAAAAATGGTCTCATCATCCGAGGCGACGCCCTTCATCCTGACACGTGAAGTTCTCCGGGGGGGAGAGAGGGGGGGGTGAAGGAGTGAGTTTCTGAGTTTCTCCCCCAAAATGCACATTGAAGGGTTTGAAGACGTGGCCCTAACAGTGACCCCTCTGTTGACCCCGTGTCTATGTCCTGACGCACAACAGACAAACAAATGTTTGTTTGTTGATGCTACGTAGCTCCAAAAGCGTGTGCTGGAAGTTTGGTTCTGAGAACTGAAGTCGGAACATTGATAACCAGAACACGATTGTTAGTGAGAAACAGGCAGATCCAGATTAACACGTACGTGATTCATAAACTGACTAATTCGCTAAGCTACATGCTACACAAAGGCGGCTACATGCTCAAACGCCAAGGTAAACATTAACTAAGAAAGATTAGTTAAACAAAAATAGCTGAAATTAGTTTTTTGTTTCTTTATTCATCAGTCATTTGGTCTGAACACATTAAAGAAAGAATGTGAGAAAAAAACGTGTTTGCTGGAAGTTTGGTTCTGAGAACTGAAGTCGGAACATTCATAACCAGAACACGATTGAAAGATTAGTTAAACAAAAATAGCTGAAATTAGTTTTTTGTTTCTTTATTCATCAGTCATTTGGTCTGAACACATTAAAGAAAGAATGTGAGAAAAAAACGTGTTCACGATTGGTTTGGTTCTGAGAACTGAAGTCGGAACATTCATAACCAGAACACGATTGTTAGTGAGAAACAGGCAGATCCAGATTGACACGTACGTGATTCATAAAAGCACTAATTCGTCTTAATCACAGCCTGTAGTCACTTGGTCCACACCCTTTGGGCCTTGACAAAGAACTTTGAACCAATTTTTTGTAACCAAATTGTTGCCAAAGATTCTCAGAGCCCCAGAGGTGGAATCACAATGACTGTTTTTTTTTTTTGTTTGTTTTTGTTTTTCTTTAGCATTTAACCTAAGTTTTCTGCTGACGTGTGTTTTATCCAATTTTTCTTTTAGGCTCTGTTCTTAGTAAAGATTGATAGCAATGTTATATGTAAACCTTTTTCCTCCTTGCTGTGGCTGACAGATTTTATTTCCTTCTCTCTGAGCTCAAAGTCAATTCCACGGTCACCACCGAAGAACTCCTGTTTGAACTTGTCTGATGGAGGTTCTTATTTTTCCGCACCCTGCAGTGTTTTACACAGAGTTTATAACCTGCCTGAAAATAATATGCATGTCAGTTTTCAGTCTGTACTTGAGAATGGTCGTTTTACACAGAGTTTATAACCTGCCTGGAAATAATATGTATGTCAGTTTTCATTCTGTACTTGAGAATGGTCAGGGACGGAGTTTCATGAATGTAAATTAATGTCACTACAATAAAAAACAAAACTAAATGTTGGTAATAAAAAAACAAACAGAGTTGCTGCAGCAGGAGGCTAGCTTGGAAACGCTAAGCTAATTAGCTATTAGACTAGCAAATGTTTTTTTTTTTTGTTATTACATAACAAATCTTCCGTGCTACAGTGCTAATCCTCATCAATTGCTATTCAAGGAACAGGACAAAAAGTTTAAGACAGTCGTTTTTTTTTTTTCTCTCTAGTTTTTTTTCTTCATGATCTTCAGGTACAATTGAAGACTTGATTCCGAAAAAAAATTTGGGCCGCCAAAAAAAAAAAAAAAAACCCAAACTGTAATGATGTGTTTGTTGGTAGTAAACCTCATCTGACACCGTCCTCGCAGCAGCAGCAGCAGCAGCAGCAGCAGCAGCAGTCGGACCAGAACTGCTGCGTTTAACTTGTTCTTTTCAACAATTTTCTTTTATGACACAGTTGGAAACTAAAGCTGACGGCGGACGAGTCAAAAGAGGTGAACAGGGAACGGAGCCAAGTGAGCTGTCAAAACAAAGCACAACACCTGCAGACTTTGACTTGTCACAGACAGACAAGTCGGGGATCAACGTTATTGTTCTGTTAGGGTTTAGTGGAGAGAAGCCCGGGCAGGACTCGTCAGCGTGGATTTGACAGTTCTGCCTGCGTTTGTGTGTCCGCCTGTTTCCACTGTCTGTGTTTCTCACTGCACTGTGACTGGGAACGTTCTCAGGTCTAATGTTCTAGGTCTCAGGAAGGAGGGAGAGGTTCAGGGTTAAAACAGGACGTTACAGTGAAGTAACGCCCCCCAAAAATATCTATTTTTCAATAAACACTTTGTATTTCCGTCAATGCTGAGTAGAGACAATAAGGTTGTCGTTGTATCCAATTTTTTTCTATTTTTAGAGAAGAGACAATAAGGTTTAAATCTGACCGAGTTTGTGTCGGTCGAAGTTGTCGTTGTGTCAAATTTTTATTTTTTGACATCTATTTCACTGAAGAAATGTTTGAGTTGAGTTTGTTTCAAATTTCTGAAGGAAAGTCTCTCAAATTTCAAATCCAAACAACAGAAGAAACAGAAGTTGGAGTCGACTAAAAACATCAGAGTCCTGGTTCAGAGAGTGAAAGCTAATCTGCTAATCTGCTAATTTAGTCACTAAGATGATGTAGTTCAGATCCTGAGTCAAAGAGAAACTCTCACCGAGTCTCCACAGGTTTATGGTCACTGGAGACGAACCCTCAACCTTCAGCCTGCGCCTCATGGAGGACAAACCTGGAGAAACATCTTCTGTTGTTCTCCTGAAATTTCACAGAACCAAAACAAACGTGTAAAGACTGGGTTTGTCTCGGAGACGCTAAACCTGCGTGAAATGAAACAGCTGCCAGCGTGAGCCAATCCAAACGTGTTTTAACTGGACAACGGTGATCGGCTGTGATTAAGGGTTCACTGGTAGCATCAAGGCTAGCATCAGCAAAACAAAAAACAAAACAAAAAAAACAGACAAAAGATGAAGCAGCAACAGCATCAACGACAGCATCAGCAAAAACAACAAAACCTGAAGTAGTGAAGTGTGAAGTCACTTCCTGTCTCACACACATATACATGTTTTTATGAGTTTCCCTGCCCTTTATTCTCCAGTTGTTAACCTTTGACCTCAGTTTCTCCTTCCACCACAACATCACATTCAGTGACTTGTTAAAGGAATAATCCACATTTTTAAATGATATCATTATTGATTCATACACATTTTTACCTGTTTTTCCCCCTGGGCTGTCCAACTTTCCACCTCAATGATGGGATCCCTCTTATCTTAAATTGAGGTGCGCCCCCTTGTGGCTGAATATTGAACTGTTCGGTTCATAGGTAGAAAACTTAAATCATTTTAAAGTCACTTTGACGTAAGAAAACACACAGAAACCCGGGGTTAAATTGCACCAAAACATTTTAATTCTATAAAAGAAGGAGAAAGGAGGAGAAAATAAGGAAAACTGTACAGAGAGAAAGCGACTTTTAAACACCATGAGTCACAGTATCAAAAAGATCACGTTTTCCTCGCCCAAATTTACACATTTGTTCTGTACAAATACAAAAAAAAAACAAACAAACAAAAAAAAAACAACACAAAAGTAGGAGTCATTCATAGTTGTATTGTTGTTATTATTATAATCATAACTGCATTGCACTGAGTAAATATTTAGTACTGGCCCAGAACTGACTGCATTCAAGAGAAACTCAAAACAGACAAAAGAAGAAGAAAAAAAGAGTTAAGGTTTTCTGTTGTCTGATGTGCGCGGGTGTCAGAGGTCGCACCGAGGGGTCAGTGACATCACTGACAGTCTGTGATGTCATCAACTGCATTATCTATGTTTAAAATGTCTGTGTTTAGAGTTACATCAGCTCAGAAAGGAACGTGGGTTGAATAGTTATTTTTAATGTTATTATTTTTCTGAGCAGGGATTATGTTTTCATAACATTTGTAGTTTTTATATTTCTGACAAAAAGGCACTCTTATAATTCCAAAAGATCTCAGACGTCATCTAAGAAACAAAAATCACCAAAGTATAGTTTATTTTACTGGTTTTCCGAGGCCTTTTCTCTCTCAAATTTACTGTTTTTTTCTTTTCCTTAAATCCAAAGAAATTACATTTTCCCACAACTTTGTGTGACTCACAGAATATTTAAAAATAATATGTAGGAAACTCCAGCTTAGTAAACATGGAAAACTTATTGATTTTTGTGATTTTGTGTTTAATTTCTCTACAGTACAAACTAAAATAAATAATGTGGTTGTTTATCTCTGCCCTGTTGAAAATATGTCATTTTTTAAAAAATGTTTCTCCCCCACGCCTCCCCCTTTGGATTTATTAATATTAAAGGGCATTCCCCACTTTCTCTAACACACACATTAACATACCGAGGCTCACCAATGTCATTACAAGAAAACAGGAAGTCTCCATGCATCACAAGTGTGCACAACAACACAACTGGGACCATTTTTTTTCTTTCAAGAAACTACGCAAAACAAACATTGTTAGATTTGAAAATAATAATAATAATAACATTAACAATAATAACAATAATAATAATGAACAGGTGATGAAACACTTCATCAAAAACCAACAGAGAAAGAAGTCGAAGGAAAAAAGGGGGATTTTTTCACATTTTTTTAGTCAGTGTTAAAAATAGAAATTCACCCGTTACATTTACTCTGCGCTTTTTTTTCTGAGTATTTACACTTATGTACATTTGATTTCTCTTAATTATTTGTTCTTTTAACGTCTTTTATCAACAGCTCTATAAAAGAAAGTAAAATTGCAATCAAATGCATAAACTCTTCTAGAAAGATGTGCTTCGTCGCTGTGTTGTTGCTGTGTTCTTCTCTTCTTAATCTTTTTCTTTTTAAAGGGAAAATTCAGGGATTGTAGTGTGACGTTAATGAGGACACATAATCAACACCAACGATGCTAACGGCGCCCCCTGTGCTTAGAACCAAACCGTCAGGTGACAGTGGACACCAGAGTTAGCCGTGGACGCGTACCTCAGTCTGGTCTATTTGATGTTCGTCTGGTTTTTTTACTGTTCACACAACAACACACTCATCTACGTGGAGTTAGATGAGATTTTTTTTTTACTTTTCTCTGTGGAGATTTGTATGAAAAATACAAGCTGAGGTCTAAAGTAAAAAGAATGACTGCTTTTTTTTTCACCACTAAAAAAATGTCAAATTCTGATTTTCCATTCCACAGAATGTGATGGTCCACAGTTGAAATGTAATGCATTTGAAATTACCTCCAGACCACAAACGACTTTTGTGTCCAACGGCTAAAACTGTTGGTTCGTACGATGGACAATTGTACTGCAGTACAAGTAGCTCAAACCGACTTGTATCTACAAACTAAACGTTTTTTTCTTTGTTTTTATTCTGAGTGTTTGGTTCGAACGACTGGTGCTGATCGGTACTCAGACAACAACACAACCCAAAAAACCCTGCATTATCCCTTTAAGTTGAAGCAGAGGGAGGGTGTTAGGAGAACTGGGGTTTGCTCTGCCCTGCATTAGAAAAAATAATGACAGAATTCAGTTCTGATTCATTTTTTGTAAAAAACGGGGATAAAAATCTTTACAATTCAAAATATTGTCTCCAATTCGTAGTAAAAGTAAATGACGTCACTGGTTAAAGTCGTTTGTTTTTCACCCTCTCAGAAAGCCATCGTCATCAGTGACGTCATCATTGTTAAATCTTTTTATCGATCGATGTTTCTCAAAAAAGTCGGCTGTGTGACACTTGGTTCTCATTAAGTAGCTTTTCAGGAAAGGCTTTCAGGATGCAGTTACACTCCGTGACCACAAAGGGGCGCCACTCATTACCAATAAAATCAGGACAGAGCCAGAAATGCCTCTGAAGTGAGCGTTTAAGTTGCATAATTGAGATTTTGCTGGAGGTCAGCAGCAGAGAAATAGCGCCACCTGGTGACCTATTAATCAGAACTTGATCCATGTGTGCCCCCCCAAAAAAAAAGCCAGTGCCGGCCAGCAGCAGACCCCACCCTCCTGAACACCTGTCTGGTGGAAAAGCTAATGATGAGCATGAAGTTTTCCCTCCTGTGAGGTTTGACTATGAAAAACCCGAGCACATCAGACCCTGACAGCCCGACACCGTGCAAGGGTTGGTCCCAGGACCACTGATTGACCATGATGCACTGCAACGACGCCGTGTTGGCTCAGGAGTTTGGATTCTGTTATAGAGATAAAGAGCAGACTGTGATTGGTCGAACTCTTCTGGTATTATTGAGTGGAGCTGCTCTAAACTTCGACAATATTTTTACAAAATAAATTTTTCCTAATGATTATCAGAAGTCGTGCGTTTCAGGTTTTGCGATTTGAACAGTGACGGTCTGGACCTCAAGGACTTTCCAGGGTTTAAAGTCGTTGCTGAAAAGACGGTCATTTCAGGGTGTGTCTTTGAAACCACAAAGATCAAAACCTGTGTAAAATTTAGGATTAGTTTTTGGGTTTTTTTATTTTTATGGTCAAAACCTAGAATTTAAAAAAAGTCTTGCTTTGGTTTGATTTGGGTTTCCTGGGGTAAGGACACAGACTTGTTCAGACTTGTTCAGACTTGTTCAGACTTGTCTGCATTCATCTTCCAATGTGACTGATTAACGACTGTTCCGACAACGTGGCGGGACATTCCTTTATCGCACTATAAAGACTGGGGCCAAATCATCCACCCTGGGAAAACGTCAGGGTTGTCACCAACGAACAGCGCTGCATCGTCGGCCAAACATGGTCGGTCAGAGGTTCTGGTTTTTGACTTGATTTACTTTGATTAAGGCTCGACGGGCTGGAGGTAAAAGAACAAGAGCCCGGAACACACACACTTGTGAACATCTTTAAATTCTGATTATGTGTGTTGTCTCATAACACACAAACACACATGCACACACACACACACACGTACACACATTCTCAGAAAAGCTCCCCGATTCCCTGCACGAGTTTCTTCTCCTTATTATTATTTTTTTTTATCTTAAATGATTTGCGCCTCCTTCGTCTTTTTCACAACAAAAGGATGGGGAAATACTTTTGCTCCTTCTTTTTCATAAGAGCAGGTGCCATTTTGTTAAGAAGCCAAATCTGGCCAAAATAAAAAGAAGACAAGCATCGACACAAAACACAAAAGAGCAAATACTGTTAACAGAGAAGAAGAAAAATGCAAGAGAGAAAAAACAAAAAACACAAAAAAACGACTGCTTGATAACAATGAAAACAAATTATTCCTATAAAGTTCACAGTCATGTAGTTTCCTGTACCAGTGGAAAGGGGGCGCAGCACAGGACAGGTAGGGGGCGGGACAAATCAGGCTACTTTAGGATCTTGACCTCCGGAGCCTCAGGATTGGACACGAACGTGTGAAGATTATTGAACAAAGAAAAGTGATATGTCAAATATTTGGACTTTTTTTTATAACAAATCCAGCACAGAGTTTGAGTTATTTTTCCAAACAGATGATTTTAGTGACAAAATCAAAACAGTTTGAATGACTTAGCCCTTTTTCCCAATGATTTAGATTTGTTTTTTTCTGTACATGTCTCCTTTATAACAACTGGACAAAATGACCCCTTAACCATGGCTTGAATTTTTCTCTCCAATTTGACTAAAAACCACTGTTAAGATGCAAATACATGCATTTTTTTTATTAAAATGAAAACTTTGCTTAAAATAAGGCAGATCAAACATTTTAAAAAAAGCTCTGTATTTTCTGAAATTCTTCAAAATCTTTTGGAAAAATTGTGTCTGTTTGGATTTGTTGTTGGAAACCAACTAAATATTTAATAAAATCCATAATATATGGATTATTAGTTCTTCCCAACGGTGGAACAGAATGAAAGAGTGGCCAAACACACACACACACACACACACGTCAGGATGAAATGATGGGCGTGACGGATGAACGTCCCTGCTGATGGAAGTCTTTACGTCCAGTCTTGGTAGAAGAGGGGACGGAGTCACAGGCAGCGGCGGCGGGACATGTCTGTAGCAAACGCTCGGTCTTTATAATGAAGCACACACAAGAACTGCCCAAAAAAAGGAGAGAGAGAGAAAAACAATGTATGTTCCTGATAATCCTGTGGTTGGACAAGGAAGTGGTGAAGGATGAAGGACGAGCCACTTCTTCCTTGGCTGTGGAGGAGAAAAGCAGGAAGTAGCTGAGCTGGTTCCCTCTGGTACAAGATGTGCTGTGAGGGAGTAAAGAACCTCAGCAGGTTCACACGTGTTCTTTGTTCATTTTGTTGTTTTTTATTTGGGGGGTGGAGGTTCACATCATAACATGGCGGCGGCGGTGCAGGGAGAGGTGGTCAGACCGGGAGAAGGAGCGGTCACACTCAGTGCAACGAAAGGGTTTGATTCCTGTGTGCTTGCGAAAGTGTCGTGTCAGCTCATCCGAGCGAGCGAAGCGCCAGGTGCAGCCCTCCCAGGTACAGTGGTAGGGTTTCTCTCCTGGACCCAGGGAAAAGAGAAGAAGTAAAGGATGAAAAATACATATATATAAACAGCAACATGCAGCAGCAGAAATTACACTTCTCCTGTGAGCCACAAGGGGGCAAATCAGTTATCTTTTAACAGAAATTCACCACAGCTGTAAAAAAAAAGCTGTTCAACTCCACCTGTGTGTATCCTCCTGTGGGCTTTGAGGTGTGAACTCTTTGTGTAAACTTTTTTGCAGCCTTCATAGTCACACATGTGGATTCTCCGTCTTTTGACGTCTGGAGAGTCGGGATCCACAGGCTCCAGGTCGATAACTGACCTACGGGAGAAAAAAAAACAAAAACCAGATTCAATGACATGAATCTGTCAATCATACCAACGGTCAAATCCTCAGGGATGGACAAATAAATGGCTAGAAATGTTAGTGAAAAACGCCCCAGATAGATAAGAGTTCAAGTAAAACAGAAGGATGTTAGAGCCAAACTGAAATAAAAGCTCAGTCAGCCAGAACTATATATACAACATCTAAGAAACTTCCTCTGGATTTGACACAAACTTCACCTCCGGAAATTAATTTTGAGGAGCAGAGATTTTCTGGTGTGATTTTTTTTTTTGCCTTAAAGCACTCTGGTGCTGAGGATGAAATAGAAAAAGTAATAAATGAATTCAATTTTTAATTAGACACAAAAGATTGGCCTGATGATTTTTTTTTTTTATCTCCCACGGGGCTGGGAGTGGTGATGTGGCCACCAGAAGGCGACAGAGAGTCAGTGCTGTCTCCAGTCCAGTTACAGTCAGTCCAACTGTAACTGTCGTTGACTTCATGGGCTGTTCTGAGATCTGTGTTCATCTGGACTGTTGTCTTTTTTCTGTTTGTTAAAGTCAGATGTTGTTACTGAAGAACAACATCAGACAAATGTTTAAAGAAACAACGAGGACGTGTTGGTTGGTCTCCTGAGTGACGGTGGACTGCATGACGTAAACCTGTTTACACTTAAGGACTGGGACAGCCCTGCCCAGCAACACACACACACACACACACACAGACTGTGATGGGCTCTGTTAAACATTATGTCTCTTTGTATTTATCTATATGTTCTTATTTATGTGTGTAACACACACACACACACACACACACACACACAGACACACACAGACAGTTCAGTAACCACACCCGGTTTTGCTGTTAAAAGTCAGGCGGCCTCACCCACTGGGTGTGGGATGAAGCAGCTAATCTGATTTTTCTGATGGACACACACACACACACACACACACATGCATGTTTTTCTGTACTTTTGAGTGCAGACAAAAGAGTGTAAAAGCACCAAACGTAGTGAAATGTGAGTCGTGCTCCACGTCGACGTAACGTCGTACGCTAACTTTGTGAACATTAACCAGAAACAACAGATACCGTATCTGACCAGTAGAGGGTGACGTAGGCAGATGCAAAGTGATTTCACGGAATTAAAAAAAATGCTCTTTTTGCCAACGTGCAAATGAAAATGTGTGTTTGTTGTTTGTTGGACTTCACTTCGTCACAGAATCTGAAACTAAAAGACGCCCTCTAAAGGTTCTTTGTGGAACACCACGGGTTAGCTTCAGAGAGAGAGAAAAAACTAAATATATACAAGTAAATATATGAACATATATGTATGTATGTGTCTCCAGTATTAGGATGAACCTCTTTCCTGACCCAGAGGTTCTGGATCACCTCAGAGTTGTGCGGCAGGATCAGATTGTGTTTTCGCTGCCACACCCGTTGGACTGTTAGGGAGACACCTTATTAAGAATCCAGAGGGAGGGGTGAGGGCGTGGCAGACTTTGTTTTTGGTCCAAGGAGTCTGTCCTCGCTCACTCTCATATGATTGACCCAAAAATACTAATTTTCCACTTAAAAAGAGATGAGCTTTCAAAGGTCAAGAGCTCGCCTTTGAAAGAACCAAATGTCCTGGTTTATGGAGCATGAACACACACACACACACACTCACACACACACACATTCACACACACACACAGGCTGTGAAGAGAAGAGACGCCCTCACGCTGTAACAGGGAGACAAGTGTGTGCATGCGCAGATTGTGAGCGTGTGTGTGAGGTTATATAAGGTTATGTAAGTGTCCAGTTGGTGGTGGTGTTTTTGCCACCACCCAAAGCTGCGGCAGCAGCAGCAGCAGCAGCAGCTGCAGTAGAGGAAACCACCGTTCTACTGCAGAGCAGCAGGAACATTCAGTACCTGGAACTGAAGACAAAATGGTTCCAAGTCACTAAGGCTTCCTCCTGTGTTTCTTACGGAGATGAAGTCAGTGTTTATCAGTTCTCCAGGTTTGGGTGGATGTTCAAACGGTGACTTTGAAAAGTCTTTTAGTACTCGTTCACGGTTTCATTTTTACTACACTTTGACAAAGGTGAGTGAGAGACAGTAATAAAGAAACTGTGCAGAATACGTCCAGTAAAAATCACAGAGTATGTTGATGATTGACTGATTTACCACCTGCTCTCAGGGACTCAGGTGTCTATTCTCCTGTAATGACTACGAATGGCCACTAGGATGACAGTGTAGCTCACAGCAACGGCGCCAGAGAAAACTTTCTGGAAATGATTCAGTTTTCCGACAACAACTTTAGTTTTTTTTTTTTATATGTGATATAACAAGACTGGTCACAAATATGAAGTACTTGCTAGTGTCATATATTGAAGTACAACACAGAGTACCTGAATATTTATGGTTAGTTGACTATGGAGCAAGCCAGAAGAGTTAAAGGTCAAGTGTGTAACTGCTGTCTCCCGTCTACAGCATCAACTGGTACGAACAGGAACTGAGTGGAACCTTTCAGCACCGTCTACTCACCCCACGTCCAGGCCCTGGGTGCTGAGGGAGGCAGACCCTGACTCTGTACCGCTCTCAGCGTCGCTATCGCTCTGATACTCCACAGGAGACGTGGAACCTGGTTTAAGACGAACTGGACAGGAGAAAAAGAACGAGGACCAGGGATGACACAGGGCAACAGCAGAAGAAGAAGAAGAAGAACACGTGGAGGAGTAAAGGTGAAATAATGAGGAGGAGGAGGAGGAGGAGGAGAGATGAGTCAGAGAAGAAAGAGAAGAGAGGGGAACAAAGAGAGAGGAGAACAGCAGGGGGTTAATCATCGTAACACGGCGACCAGTGCAGCAACTTAACAAGACAAAGACATGCCTCAGTGTGTGTGTGTGTGTGTGTGTAATTAGGCGTGGTCAACGGGGCTGCAAAAGAATTAATGGATAAAATCTGCGAGACCAAACCCATGTTCCCTGTGTCCTGTTCTGTTTTGATGTTTGTTCACACGTTTTTTTTAACATTCTGTCTTTCATTTTATTTTTCCTCTAACTTCTGTCTCTGTTTTAAAATGTCAACACGTAGGCAGCAAGTTGACGCAAATAAAGGTTAATACAAAAAAAACCCTTTCTGTAGAAGAAGTCAGACGGAGGGAGAATTAGTCAACTCTGACTTGAGGTTAGCCTCGGAGATAGCTGAACGATAAAAGAACCAAAAAACCTAAACCTTAGAAGTCTGGAGGCTCTGACTACGACAGACAAAACTACTAAAACAATATCGAGACAAAAGATACCTTAAGGACAGTCAAGACCACAACAAAAAACAAAAACTTCTGATGAGCTTCAGAACCACAACCCTTAGAAGGTCACCAGAAGGTAAACTTCTAAGGTTGTACCTTTTATAGAGCTGAAATTCAAGACAGAAAATGTCTAAAATCTAGCAAACAGCTGTCTGAAATGAACGAGAATTCATTTTTACAAGATGAAGTCAAATCCAAAATATTTAAGCAAAAAAACGATCCTGTGTGTAGGTCGACCTGCGAACCTTGATCCACAACGTATCCTCGGTGCAAATGTTTATCGTTGAATCATGAGAACCACCAGGTGTCACTGTGGTGTTTACCTGTGTTTTGGTGAACAGGAACGGTTGATGAATGGATGGATGGATGGTTGGTTGATTGATTAGTTGATAAGTAGATTCTTTAATCATCCCATGAAGAGGAGGTTATGTTAGACACCGGCTGTAGATCTGGAGATATTGACTTGCTGCCAGATTATCCCCCCCCCCCCTCCCACTCTCCCACAGATATTGGGGTGTGGTCTCAGCTGCCTGCCTTACCCTAACCATAGTCCTGCTACATGGGAAGGGTTGTGTCAAATCACATGTTCCCAGACTGGGCCAACACACACACACACACACACACACACACACACACATGTTCAGGGAGTCTTCTTTCATTTCTGCTGCTTCATGACGAGCAGTGACACAGAGCAGGAGCGACTGCAGGAATGTGGCAGCCATACTGTTCAAAGTCCAGTCTGCAGACAGAAAGGACAGGGAGGACTGGAGTGGATTGGTGGCTGACGCAAGGAATTTTGGGTGGAGTATCCACAGCATGTGTGTGTGTGTGTGTGAGTGTGTGTGTGTGGGGAGGGTCGCAAACCAAGAGAAGTGTTCCCTGACTCCGGAGACAATTAAGTCCAAACCCCCGACATCCCAACTCTCCACGCAACGAAAAGGGAAAGGCAGCTTCCTTCTTTTTGTCAAGCTAGCTTTCAAACTAGCCAACTAGTCGTCAACGCCCACCACCCCTCCAGCTCAACTGCACCCTACACCGACACATCCACCTTTTAGCACATACTATTCATTGCTCATTTAGCATCACAAATGATAGAACAGAGGACGTGTGTGCAGTCCTCGAAAACCACAGGGAAATAACCCACTCCAGTGACTTGAACTTGAGCATTTCCTTATGTGACAAAGACTTGGGCGGTGTCTGAAACCCCTACACCCTACAACACCCTACGTCATCCACTATAAATGTATCCCACAATTCACTGCGAAATCTAGCGGACAACCGATGGTCACTGCCCAAGCAGTATATACCCCGGACACGATTTTGGACACAGCTTGGCTTTAAAACCTAGAGATTCAACATCAGTCGTTCTGTTGGGCACAACCGTTGACTAATAACCCTGGTGACCTTGGCATTTCCTCAGAGTACTTTCACAAACTCAGACTGAAACCTCACTCTTCCTCTCTGTAGCAGAACACGAAAACAAGCAAGGTCGTACGGGTCATTCCTACAGCTAACTCCTGTTTAGAGAGTTCATGTGTTAGCATAGCACGCCACGATTACTAGTTAAAGAATAATTACTATGTAATGTCAGTTAAAAAAGCTTCCAGGTCAGTATTAGTTTGTGAATAGAGTATTAAAGATGACCTATCTCTAATTCTGGTGTTAACACTGGTCCAAGAATTTCAGATTCACCACACGCACAAAGACCTTTATTTTCAGGTCATTGAGGAAGTAAATAAAACCCTGGCGTTTTGGTCCTCCCACTGCACCTTCAGGCTTTTTTAGAACTTCCAGAGAATTATTCTGTTTGTAAACATTCATGATTGATAGCACAGTGTCACGTTGCCAAGAAAATTGTTGTTTTGACTAAACTAGTGCAGAGTATCGGTTGCTGTTTGCTCAGGGATGGACTTCACCTCCTCAAACCTGTTACTCAACCAATAGACACCTTTATTTTAGCAGCAGGTATCAGTTTGATTTTTGTTTTTTGTTAAAAAAAAACAGGGTGTGATATACCTTCACCTCTGTGTTCAGAAAAAATATACTACTTATATTTGATAGTGCAAGGTAATTTGGGACTAGATTTTACTCTTACTTACTCTTAGCTACATCTGAGCTAAAATTAACGCCACAATATTATGCAGTGAGTTGTGCTAACTGCTACTTCTGTCTGTGCTAAATTTAGCAATGCTCTTGGTTAAAATACATATATATAAACATATTTTTTTCTACAATCTATTTTACTAGCCTCTAGCCATTTATATGCAAAGTTTTAGCAAATGTTTTCTACTAGCCTCTAGCCATTTATATGCAAAGTCTTAGCAAATGTTTTTCTATTTTTTTTTTAACTTTCATGCCATTTTCTTAGCTTTTTTGGCTTACATTTACCTAGCATATCTGGGCTAATTTGAAAGTGAAAGTGAAAGAATTTATTTGGCTGACTTTAGCTATTTCCTTAGCCTTGACCTTGACTAACTGTAAGATATGACAGTATCTTTCACAGCTTACCTCCAGCTAGCTTCTCTGTATTTTAGTTAGCTTTAAACTGATTCTGTGCTACCTTAGTGCTCGGTGTTAGCTAATTCACAGTTGTATTCTTTGGTAGCAGGATATTTTGTGAACTTTTCACTTCAGGCCAGTGCTAATTTCACATCTGTTATTTTTTCAGAGTATAGTCTTGTAGAAAGCACTTCCTGTTTGAATTTACGGGACATCTGGGGGAACAGCATCAGCTGCTGAAACACTGATGCATAAAAAGGCGAGCAGGAACTTTTATTTCCACAAATGGATCTACCCACAAGTTTGCTCATCAATCTCCAGGCACATATGGAACTCATCGAGCGTGACACACTCAGACAGACAGACAGACAGACAGATGTAACACACCACAACCCATAAACATACACACAACATCTCTGTCACAGACACACTGTGGTCCTCTGAGACCGAGTGCTAACAATAAACAACCGTGTGTGAATGAGACACCGACACTGACACAGTTGGACGTGTGGAGAAGAAAAAAAAAAGAAGCTCTTTTTGCCTTGAGGAAATGGACAGTTGTAGCTGACAGAGTGTAATGACACTAAGGTAAAGTTAAAGGGAGGTCAATCTGACCTATTTATACACTTAAATTTTTAACCTGACCCATGCTCCTATTGGATGGTTCAGCCGTCAAACACACTTTGGATCAGCAGATGGTTCCTGCTCTGCTGTAGCAGCTGTTTTTCTACCTCTTTATAATAGGAATAAATGCAAAATCAACAGCATGTAATGTCAGACGTTAGGGTCGTTTCTTTTTTTTTTTTTTTTTTTCATCCCCCCCTTTTTTTTTTTTTTTTTTTTCATCCCCCCCTTTTTTTTTTTTTTTTTTTCTGTCAATAACTCCATCCTAGGCTTAGTTTTAAGCTATTTTGATTTTTTTATATTATTTTTATTTTGAGGTTTAGCGTTTCAGCATCTACTTACCACTTCCTTCCGAACGCCCGTCGCTGCCTATGAGTGGCACGGTGATGGCCGCTGTGGCTACGCCATCTGTGGGCATCGTAGTGTAGACGACCGGCAGTGACTGCACCACCACAGGGATGGTCTGCAGCTGGCCCACCTTACTGGGCATGCTGACGGAGGGGATGGTGTGGATGACGTGCAGGATCTGCTGGCCCCCAGCGCCCTGTGTAGCCAGGATAGAACCCGGTGAGAGGACCTGCCGCGGGGGGGGAAGATAAAGACGATCGGTTTCTGTGATCGTCCTTCAACCAACACCATGTGAATATCAGTGATTGTTGTTTACCATGGAGCCTATGGATTGTACCGCAGAGGGGACAGGCGTGGCCGTCAGACTGGGCTGGGTGGCTGTGCTGCTGGGCGGAGGGTTGACTGTGGTGTTGGTCACGGAGACTGTGTGTGAAGACATACGAGGTTTGTTGAGGGACAGGTCCATGGGTTGGTTCTGGTCCTCCGTGGGACACTGAGAAGGCGAGGAAGGTTCTGTCTTACAGGCTGGAGTCTCTGTCTTTATTTTCAGGTTGGTCGGCTGTGGGCAGTCATCAGGCTGCTGCAGACACGGAGAGAACGACAATAAAGGGAGGGATTTAGACACTAGAATTTTTTAGAATTCTTTTGCGGAGAAGTAGGACAAGAACTGGAATCATCTGGTCTTCCAGCAAACAATCAATAACAACATCCAGTGGTATTTAAAATATATTTAAATGTTTCCAAAACCAAAGTTACAGCTTTTCAGTCCATATTGAATATACTTTACAAATGACTTGGACGTTCAACCAAACATCCACCCATTCACAGTCGGTCGATGAAGGACTTGGACAATAACACACCAGTTGTTTTAATGTCTGGTTTATTGATGAAAAGGTAAAGTTTAACTTAAGTTAGCTTGTTGTTAAAGGTAAAGTTTAACTTAAGTTAGCTTTTGGCTAACTGTTACCGGCTAAATATTTTTTGTGGCAAACTCTAAGTCAGTTTTGGCTCATTCCTGGGTGCCCCACGGTCAGAGACAACTTCGTCACCATAAGATGTTCAAGGAAAAATGCCCCGTCCATAAAAAATATATTTCTTATTTGAAGTTTCTAATAAAAAGCTCATTTAAAACTTTAATGGAATCCAGATCAGGCTGTGAGACCACACCCTGATATCCCCCCTCCTCCTCCTCCTCCTCCTCCTCCTCCTCCTCCTCCTCCTCCTCCGAGGAAAACTGGGCACCACTTTAACCAACACTGCTGCCATGAAGCTCCAGTGTTCAGGAAACAATGGCTGCTGTGTGGGAACGTGAGAGGGGGAGATGTAGGGGGGAGGCAGAGAGAGGGAAGGGCTGGATGGATGGAGAGACAGACTGGTACAGCCGTTCAGGATTTGGCTCTGATCCAGTTCAGCTGAGCTCCGCTCGGCTTTGGGTGGAGCCTACAGGCCACGCCTCCTTATCCAGGTCACACGGTTCAGAGGGCGTTGTTGACCAGGACAAAAATGGAGTGAGGAGTCGCACTACATCGGCAAATTGAAGATGATATGAATAAAACGGCAGGAGAGAGAAGGAAGGAAGGAGGGAAGGAAGGATAACATACAAGAGGGAAGATGTTACTGCCAAGTGAGCAAACTCCAAAATGAAAGTAAAAAAAAAGTAATTGAAAAATAGGAAAAACAACAGAAAGGGAAAAAAAGAAATTAAAGGAAAAGAAAAGGAGGGGAGGAAAAACAACAGAAAGGGAAAAAAAGGAAATGAGGGAAATTGAAGAAAGAGAAAGGATGCTGTGTTGGAAAAAAAGGAACTTTCTAAAAATAACAGCGTAGTGAAAACGAAACGACAAAAGTATAAAAAAAAAGTAGTGAGTGAAAATAAGACAGAGCCAAAGAAAGAAAGGAAGAAAAAAAAGGAAAAAACGAGCGAAGGACAGGGAGAGTGGGTGGGAAAGGCCGAGTGTTGCCATGGAAACAGGGAGTGATCAGCTGACTCCATGTTTTCCACTCGTTCTCCAACAACTCCCTCTCTTTTTTTTCCTCCATCCCAGTTTATCTTTCCATCATCTTCATCCTGTCCTTCTCCACCACTTTCCCTCTTCCTCCCTCTTGGTCCTGGCCACACCTCCTCCACCTTCCTCTCACCCACACATCCCACCTCGCCCTCCATCGTCAGCCACACCTTTGTTCTGTCTCCACCTTGCCTTACCCTCCCTCGCTTTCACCCACTCACTGCATTTGTCTCCTCACCTTTATCTTCATCATTTGCTGAGATTTGAACCCACGTCTGAGGGAATCCCTTCATAATAACGTCAATCATTTCAGACTTCACTTTTGTAACAGGGAAAATTTCACATTAAAATATTACAAACACAGATTTTTAGGTCAAATTAAAGAACTACATACAGTAAGTACTGCACTTTCAAGGTCCATTTTGAAAAGAGTTTCAGCGTCAAGTGGAAATTATCAAAAAGATTTAATTATTTTTCAAAGATTTAAATGATGAAAAAGAAAAAATCTTTGCAGAAAAATTTAATCATTATTTGATGTTAATTTTGTTTTAGGACATATTTTAATATATCCGTCAGGGATCATGTTTTCTCTTTCGCTTTTGGTCCTTTCAACAATGTTCTCAATAACAGTAGGTTGAAATATCATTGGTCACGTTACAGTTTCAGTGAGTTCACTTTACTGGATCAGTGACAGTGAATATTTACAAACATTTTATGGACCACATGACAGATTTGTTTTGTTCTGGAGGCAGAAAACGACCAGAAACAAAATAAAAAAAATAAGGGTCGACGTTAATGACCTTCAGGGAACAAGCACTGATGTGAGTTCAGTCCAAGCTGCTGTTGCTGCCTTTCCTCCCTGGGATGAAATCAATAGG